ATCATGATAGTAAACGCAAGCTCTTGGAGTTAAATATATAAAATGATATTTATCAGGTCGATGGATCGATGCATTGAAATACTAGTACATATGTTAACCATTATTTGGCACGTATACTGTTATCGGTGTATTTTTGGGGAAGTTATGTATAAATGAACATTTTAGAACAAAAATTGAAAATCGTGCGGTACGTGATTGTGAATTTATACATCCCGCACAACCAAACGAACGCCAAACTTTGGCAAGGGTTTTACTGCCGGTTGATAAAAGACCAATTTAATAACAATTTTAAATGCCCCAGTCAACCCCTAGGGTAAATAAATTATTGGCATCAGAAACGTGTGCAGAACCAACTTATGTCCAGCCTATTTGGAAGGAAATGCATAATTCTGCGTTGCTGAACATTTTAATCCGTTTGTTTTACGTAATCTTGACATCCTGTTTCAATTCTATTGCGTGATTCCTAATCACTTGCCATAACTTACCAACGTCTTTTATAGGAGTACCACGACGGGTGTCACATGTGGAGCAGGATTTGCTTTCCCTTCCGGAGCACCTGAGATCACCCCCGGTTGTTGATGGGGTTCGTATTGCTCAGTCTTTAGTTTTCTATGTTGTGTTTTTTGTACAGTTGTTTGTCTTTTTGTCTTTTTCGTTTTTGCCATGGCGTTGTCAGTCAATTTCGATTTATGAGTTTGAATGTCCCTTTGGTATCTTTCGCTTCTCTCTTATACAGGAACAAGAATTTTTTTTTTTCGAACGCAATGTCGAAATAATTGTAGCCCCTTATTTTCAATGGAAATTTCCTTTCTGAAAATTGTTTATGAAGGCATTTGGAACCGAAAACATTATTTGAAATAAAGTTATTCATAATTGTAATCAATTTATTAGTGCAATAATATCTTACAGTATTAACCTTATCATTTGTGAGAATCAGCCCAAGATTTTCGCTGATACTCCTTTGACTGATGTAGTCTGAGTAGATGGTCGACAGTGATCTCTGATTTTGTGAGTTCGAACCTCGATCGTGGTGCGGACCGTTTGTGCCTGATATCAAATGACAAAGATTGACAGTTTTTCCTGTCAAATGTCGATGGTTCTCTAAGGGAACGTCGGCCTCATCCACCAATATAAACCGGCCATCACTAAGCCAAGTCTCTGAAAGTGGCGTTAAACACCAACACACAACCAAAAATAAACAAATGTTTTTGTATTTTTTCATTTAAGAACCTATGCATGTATGTACGTAAGTTGATTGATTGATCGATGCTTGCTGATATTTCTGTCCCTAGTACTAAATCCCTTTCTTTAATAGAAATAATTGTTTTCAACTTTTTTACTTTTCTTTTAATGGCATATAGAAATATTGCAATAACTATGTTTGAAGTGTAAAGAATTTTGTATGTTTAAGATAAATTTTATGTTTGTAATGGTCCTTTCAATTCGGTGGACAGTTTTGACATTTTGACTCTCTATCCTACTGTATGCGATCGCACAATCTTTGATGAGGTGATTAAAGCTGCAAATCCTCTGCTTGCAAACACATCTGTATAACAATGAAACAACTATCCACCGGAGACCAAATGACGTAAATGTTATCAACTATAGCGTAATACTGTACGGCGTTTCACAATCAGCAAAACCCATATCATATAGCAAACCATAAAAAGTGCGACATGACAAAATGTAAAACAATTCAAACAAAATAACCAACGCCCTGATATAAGCAAAAAAAACAATAATCGAAAAACAAATATTATATAGAGCAACAAACGACAACCACTGAATGTTACCCTTCTGATTTGGGAGTCACATATAAAATGGGCGGGGTTAATGTTGTTTGCAGGCGCCCAACCCTTCCCCTTATCTTGGACAATGATGTAACAGCAAAACATAAGAACAAAGTGTAAAAATCAGTTAAAAAGGGCTAAACTTGTCAGATCGATACAAAGCACACACAAAGCCTACAAAGTTCCGATTTAACAGTACTTAGAAGTACTGAAAGCTAGTTCGAAACAATTTACAATCTTATAGAAACAGTAATACGTGTCCTTTTCCACATTTTTTTTTGAATATTTCAGTTTAACACGGGAAATTCTAGACAAAAAAAATAACGACAAACCAAAGACGATGTTTTGTTATCTTTTTGCAATTTTTCTACTTTGAAAAAGTGATGTTCCTTTGACACCGTCTGAAACTGTTTATATTTCCCGACTAGTTAGCTTTAACTTTGTCTTTACTGACGTTTTAGATTTTAATAAATGAGTATATGCATAATTTTTAGTTAAGGATTTCGTCTTTAACGAATTACTGAAACTTACTAACATGAGCAACACGACGGGTGCTACATGCGGAGCAGTATTTGCTTACCCTTGCGGAGCACCTGAAATCACCCCCAGTTTTTAGTGGTGTTCGTGTTGCTCAGTCTTTAGTTTTTATGTTGTGTTTTGTGTACTGTTGTTTGTCTGTTTGTCTTTTTCTTTTTTAGCCATAGCGTTGTCAGTTAAGTTTTGACTTATGAGATTGAATGTCCATTTGGTATATTTCGCCTCTCTTTTACTAAATTCTTTCTTAGATACACAATTTTTGTTCGGAATTTTAGCCGTACCCGTAGGAACCTTATTACAAACGGGGTTTCACATCCTACTGTTTACGGTGATGGTGTTTATATAACCCTTACAATTATGTACGAGTGACGTAAACTTATTTATTATTTTAAAAGTTAATATATTTTAATCACTGTACTGAGATCTTTGAATATTGACTTTGTCAGGACTAAAATTTAATTTGATCTCAATAAGTTAAATCATAACCAAATTATGAATCCGCTCGATGCATAGGAAAACATTATTAATTTTGTTTATTATTTGCAATTGGCACGAAACAAGCTTTAGGTAACTGGAATAAGATCGATACATTGTGTCTTTTGTATTTTTTTTTTTTTTACATGTTTCGAGTTTTTGTTTTGTGCTGATCCCCTAATGAATCATAAAACCCTTTCCTACAGAGTTTTACAGTTTCGAATAATTAGGCGATTCGGTATAAAGGCCAATGAGACAACTATCCAAAAGAAACCATATGTTTTTATGTTGAGTTGATTTTCTAAAATAAATTATTGAGCATTTTGTATTGTCGGGAATTTGATAGCTTTCTATACGGTACTTTTTTTGCTTATTGTTTAAAGACGTACGGTGACCGATAATTTTTTACATTAATGTCAGTTGGTCTTGGGTCGAACTCTATCTTAATGGCGATTATACATGTACCACATCTCCTTTTTTTCAAAAAATAGAAAAAAATGGATATCTATAAAGGCAACAGTAGTATACCGCTGTTTAAAAGTCATTAATTGATTGAAAGAAAACAAATCCGGGTCAGAAAACTAAAACCGAGGGAAACACATCAACTATAAGAAGAAAACAATGGAACAATAGAAACAATGAAGTGCAACAAAAACAAACGCAAATGCAACATACATAGAAACGAACTATTTGATAACAACTGCCATATTCCTGACTTGGTACAGGACATTTTAAGAAAAAATGGTGGGTTGATCCTGGTTTTATGGCTAGCCAAACCTCCTGCTTATATGGCAATGTTGAAAATACCGTTAAAATGACAACATTACGTGACAGGAATACAGTACAAATAAATGCAAAAACACTCAGGACAGAAATTACATAAATAAATAATATAACATTTCCACATGTTAACCACAGAATAAAAACGAACACCTAAAATTAATTTTCGACAGTACACAAATACAGCATAATAGAATTATGAACAGTGCATCACACGAATGTATCAACGCCACACAAAGTGACGTCACAGGTAAATTTCTAAAAATTGAATTCAAAATCGGGATTAAGTTTGTAATGGTGTTATTCGATGTATTTTCTAACAATTACAAGAATATTAATGTAGAATTGTGTTAGTAAGGGAGCAATTAATTGTATGTTCTAACCAAGTCGGTTTGTCTTTTAAATAAAACTGTGTAAAAACTAATAAATCCCACAACAGTCATATTCGTGAATAGGTCACGTTCGGTACTTAAAAGACCAGACGACGTATATGGTAAACCACAATCTAAGACGTGGTAAAATGTCTTTAGTTATTTTAGACACAGATACATCTATAGATCAACCCGTTCGAGATGGTGTCCATAAAATTTACGGAGTGTCACTTTTAATCTTTCCGCCTCCTAAATCCGTTGTAGCAGTTTCTGCGTAAGGAGCACACTCCTGTATATGAAGTCTGTATAGTGTGAACATGCACGAGCATAAAGTATCAATTGAGATATGTAATTACCATACGATGGGGCAGCGGGTATGTTACTGCTAAGAAGTATGATTTACTTCAATTAAATAGCTTATTAAAACACTAAAAACAAAATACATCATGTGTATATACACTGAAAATACCGAACTCCCAGTTGAATTAAAAAAAGCGGGAATTAAGTCTATAAAACCTGAAAAAATCAAACGCTCGATTATAAAATCAACTGTCATATTACCTTCAAACTTATAAGTCGAAAATAAACTGACAACGTCATGGCAAATAATGAAAAAGATCAAGAGCCAACCAATAGTACACAAAACACAACATAGAAAACGAAAGACTGAGCAATACGAACCCCACCAAAGACCGGGGTGATCTCAGGTGCTCCGGAAGGGTAGGCAGATCTTGTTCCACATGTGTCATCCGTCGTGTTTCTAATGTAAGTAAAAACCCGGTGATAAGTATATTCGGTAGGTCACATTCCGGTAAAAGAGGACAGGTTGTGGTTACGACAATTGGAACATATCCGTCGTCATCTGTGAAATTAGTGAAAAAGTTCAACCAAAACTTGCACATATTCTACGTCTGCTCTTTTAAAAAAACACACCAATAATCCAAAACCATTATGAACTGGGATCAACCTAGTTACCGTTTGCCACAAAGTTATAAATTTTTTACAGACATATCTAATGAACTCTTGTTATAACTTTTTAACATTTTAGGTGGCCTGATACTATTTTTAGTTTGCTGTATACTCAGTCTGACTGATATCATTTCGCCAGTGTCAATAAAAAGAAAATCGACAGCTGAAACAATTTCACAGGTGCCTTTATACATAGAATCAACAGTCACAAAACATTATTACAGTTTGATCGAAAACAGGAAGGGTTCAATATGTCCTATCTTGCAAGGTGGACTCGGAAATAGATTGTTTCAATTTTCTACTGCGTTTGCTGCTGCAAGGGCTAAGAATATGAATCTTATCATACCGTCTGATACTGAAATCAGCATGGTTTTTGAAATTAATGAGACCTTCAATGAAGCAAGACAATTGTGTAAGGGGTTTCGTAAGATTTTAGATAAAGCATCTCCAACTTTCCATAAAAACTTGATGAACTTTAGCTCACATGATAATATTCAACTTGGATATGGGCTTCAGTCGTGGAAATATTTTCATATGTATGATAAACAGCTAAAGAAGCAATTAACATTTAGAAAGCATATACAACATGAAGCAAAACAGACAATCGATAAAATACTGCAACGACGTAACATAACGTCACGCAAGAGTGTTAATTTGGTTGGTGTTCATATAAGGAGAGGCGATAAGGTTGGTAATGATGATGGGTTTAACATCGCAACACCAGAGTATTTAAGTAGATCTGTTAACTATTACACTAAAAAATATGAAGCTGTTTTATTTCTAGTTATATCAGATGGAATGTCATGGTCTAAAAAAAATATGCCTTCTCATGTTCCAGTAGAATATATATCATTAGGTAAAAGAGAACTTGATATGGCAACTGCAGTTGCCTGTGACCACACAATTATGACAATAGGAACGTTTGGCTGGTGGATCGGCTTCTTAACTGGTGGAGAAGTGGTATTCGTGAAGGATTCTGCAGCAAAGGGTTCACGATTTGAAAGGATACTAAATTTTGAAGATCATTACTATCCTCACTGGGTAGGACTTTAGATAATCTGCATCATGTACAAATCTCGTTTTAAACATCTTTATGAAAATTCATTGAACTAAAACTTAATTTAACCATTGGCGGACACATATAATCAGATTTGAAGATTTTGATTAGAGGAAAAGTAAAACCTAAGTGCCGTCCAGTTATAAACACTATCAAAACTACTGCAGAATGTGATCATTGATTACTGTAAATTAAGAAATAATTGCGAGGTTTTTATCATTGCGAATAATTCAAATGGGTGAGTATCGCAATAATAAGAACTCGCATTCTGATATCTGATACATATATCTGTATGCAGATTTTCTTGAAATCGCAATAATTAATCTCGCATTTGATAAACTATCTAACGGTTTAGGTTTAGGTTTATACTATGCACCAACGTATTGTGTTAACATATTACAATTGATAGGATACCACATGCATATTGACATTTTGCGGACTTCATTATAAGGGTTGTGCGCATAACGCAAAAACTACTGTAGTGGGGTTATATGGAGAACAATTCGACACTGCATAATGGTTTCTATCTTGAATTGGTTAACGAATATTATGTGTCTGTGTCTCAACTCCCAAGTGACACTAGTTCGTTGTTTATGATAGTCATATCTCCCAAGTGACACTAGTTCGTTGTTTATGATAGTCATATGCTTTGAAAATTTACCGATTGTGTCCTATTCCATACTATAACAATTCGACAGAGTCTGGATTCGTAATGTGTTTGATGCATTCATAGCATAATACGCTTGCCCGTACGGCGCAGTAGGTGTCGGTACTTTTTTAATGCATACTAGTTTCTTAGTTGTTCTCATTTGATTTGTTAATTCAAGATAGGTTAACGAGATATCAATATTGGTAATCTTATCTAACTCATATGAAGATTATATTGTTCCTGATGTTCGGTTCGCTACTATACAAGTGCAAAGAATAAGACATCATCGAGTCGTGATAAATCTCGCAGGTCCTGGAGCAATTTCGTCCTGTATTTCTTTTGGTACTTTTTCTGTAGAAATAACATTGATTGTTTTCCGTTGTTCCTTATATGTGTCTCTGATATTTCACGGATTACAATGTGATATTAAAATCTAAAAATATATGAGTAATGCAGGCGACAATAGTTTACCGATGTTCAAATCACGAAAGTCGATTGAAAATAGACAAATCAAGGTAACAAACAAACACTAAGGGAATCGCAAAAACCTTCTGAAGGGGCGAGATCGGATGCGTCGACAGGTTGTGGGTCTCCTGCTATGTATGTATCACCCGCTATACGAATCAATACCAAGTCATAATGTCGCAATCGGGAAGAGGGCACAGTCGATAAAATTCCAGATCAGACGACTATACTGGTATCTACTGATTTAGCACCTCGAACACAAGTCGCTTGTGAGTTGAGAAATCGACACAACGTATCGGTCAGCTAATTTGTGATGGTCAACGTAAAACTTAGTAGTGTCGATTTCGATCATTCATTTTCATAACCCTGTTTGAGCAGTTTTTGCGTAAGAAGCACACTTCTGTTAACGAAGTCCGAAAGTTGGGAACATGCATAAAAGCGAAACGTATTACCTGAGATATGATAACCCATACAATTGAGCAGAGGATATTTTACTGCTGAGAAATTGGAAGTTGACAACTGGAGAGTTGAAAATATCACGTTTGTCATAGATTCTTGCTTGAAGTCGTCCGTCCTTGTCAATATCGAAGAAAAGATAAAGATATGAAGAAGATAATTTTTCTTGTGTAGCTAAATTGATATCAAGTTTGCTATGATGTATAAGATGTAAGTACTCACTGAATGTGGATTATTTAGTGTTGTAGCTGTTTTTATGTAAGAAGCACACCCCTTCTCAATCAATAGTTCTGATATTTCTTTTTTTATATCAATAATTGAAATGATGTAGTGGTATAAGAAAACCTTAGACTTGTTCAGCAATGGTGGATTTTATTACAAACACTTACCGGCATCAATTAAGCGTGGTCCTATTTGTTGGCTATTTCAGTATCAAAATCAGTTGACTTGGTAACTCAACGTGGATTGTATTGTAAAAATGTGTGACACATTTGCTATACATTTAATAAAAGTATTCCGTGTTTTGGCAATCTAATATTTTCTTCTTTGATTTAAAAGTATTAACCTTTAAAAAGTAAAATAACAACAATAACGAACTCCAAGGAAAATTCAAAACGGAAAGTCCCTTATCAAATGGCAAAATCAAAAGCACACACATCAAACGAATGAAAAACAACTGTCATATTCCCGACTTGGCACAGACAATTCCTTATATAGAAAATGGTGGATTAAGTTAATGTTTAAATGTTATACCATAATATGTACCGTATGCGTATTTCTCAATAGCTCTGGCAAAATATTTAAAAAATCAAAAAAAAAAGGTACAGAAATTATATATGTCAAGATATAGTTTGAAAAAATTCTCATTTGAAGGATGTAACAAGGAAATTCAAATTTCAATTATAAAGACTAATTAAGTGAATGTTTACAAGAATCGATTTTAAATACAAACAAAGAGATGGTGTTACAAAGATAAAACACGATGACCTGTCAAAAACAGACCTGCCTATAGGTTTGGTAGGGAGCTGCCCTGTCTTCCGAATCAGTTAAAAGTAGATCTGTCAGCATGACAAAAGACCTTGAACAGTTACTAGCGATCATGGCTGGTATTGTAGTGATAAAGATGGCCTGCTTGTCTGCTTCAGATAAATAACCTTAACTTTGAAAGGGTTTTAAATTTTTTGTACAGGTTACCTAATACACCACAAATTTTAGTTAATTGATACAGATGGTGTAATCTGTATAAATTAATAAAAATCGGTGTTGTCTTTTTTTAAGAGTGCCAATACTACATGTATTCATATTCATTGAAAAGCATGAACCATTATTCTAATTCAGCAGACTTGGTAACGCATGATGGATTGTTTTATGTGACATGTAAGCATTATTAATATACGGTTATTATGATTCATTTCGGAACTAATTTGTTCCACTTATTTTTCTTTCTTTTTTTTTGGAATCATCGTCGGATTTAGTCTTGGCTTTCCCATTTTGAATTGTTTCTCATTTTTGTATACCTGGACCTCACTTTGGTATTGGCTTTGGTCTTTTTTAAAGTCTGTATATGTCCAATATTTGATTACAGCCTCGTCTCTCTGGTCACTAATGGATAGGTGTCTCATTAAATAGACAATAGACAATAGACAATATTTATTAGCACAAACACATTTACATTAAATGGTTATGGCATACAGTACAATTGAAATAATAAACTGACAATAATTAAATAAGAGTGACAGTGGTATTCACACGAAAATGAAGACTACAAACATGTGTGTATTGACAGATAAACAATTATTAATGTCCATGAACAAAAAAGGATACATATCAAAAAATAAAAAAATAAAAATTATACAGATTTTCTCAATAAAAGACAATCATTAATATATTTTTTGGTGATCTTTATAATGACTGGCAAACTTCTCTTCAAAAGTGTGGTGATATGCCTCAGTGTTATAGCTGATTGCGATTTAATAAAATTGAAATTAAGATTAGTATTAATTTTTTGTATATAGGTATCCCTCAATGGTATATAGCACGGCCCTTTATAGCTTGCTGCTCGGTGTGAGCCAAGGCTCCGTGTTGAAGGCCGTACATTGACTTATAATTGTTAACTGTTTAAACATTGTGACTTGGATGGAGAGTTGTCTCATTGGCACTCATACCACATCTTCTTATTTACATTTTACAAGATCATACCTCATCTTTTATTTTTATATTGGCCTATATTAAATGTAAGCCATATGGTAGGGATGTAACTAAACTGTATGCTGGTATTGCTACAGAGTGTCCATACTGCGTTGTTTCATTGAAAATCATGTATTTTTTTAATTTACCAAAATGGAGATATGTTTAGTGAGATAATTATTTCATACCACAATACACTGAACTGCAGCCAAGTTTAGCGTTTGGTTATTCATTGATTACCCTTCTGGCCTGTCACAAACAAACATGTTGTAACCTCCCATTTCATTGGCCGAAAGATACAAATGCAGCAACAATCGTGCTCGTGAATTGACACAGGTGACCGACAATGGAATGTACTATGTTACTACGGAAGTGAAATGAATTGAAAGAATATTTGTTTAATGTTGTATCGTCTCCTGTAATGGGTTGCACATTTCTCTTTTGTTTTCATTCTATACAACGAATAGACAGTAGCTTAGCGTTTGGTCATTCATATATAACATTGTTACGAATCACAAACGAAACAAATCGCAAAGTCCTATTCATTCACCGATTGATACAAGCAAAACAACAAAAATCGTATTGTACAAGTGAATGATCGCAATTGACGGACAATAGAATGTACTATCATACTTACTACGGAAATAAAATGAATTGAATGCATATTTGTTTTAAAAAGGGTTGAAATGTTACACTGGCAGGGGCTTCTGCATGTGTTGAACAAAAGAACTAAATACTTATTAGAAATGTCGTAGTTTATAAGAAACAATATAAATATACTGTTTGAATTTTTATTGGATGTAAATTTGTCTTTTTATTTCAAACTACTATGAACATAGAGCTTTGCGGAACATTTGCGACCTTTTTTTTTCCAAATAGATGCACACTTGTTTAAAGAAAATATCGCATATTCTTCAAAACTGAGGGCAATACTAATGTCTCTAAGTAGTTATCCCCTTGTAAAATAAAATTTTTCTTGGTTTAAATGCACAAGTCACAATGTAATTCATCGGAGGATTCAGATGTAGGGTTCTTCTTTAAAAACTAAGTATAAGTTTACAGAGAATATCAATAAAAATACTATAAAATTAAGGGTAAACAAATGAATTGTGCTTTTTTTAAGATGAAGTACAAAGTTATACATGTATACTAAACTGTTAAACGAAATATAAAGAAATTAAGAGTGACAATATACAAGTACAAGGAGGGACTAACCTTTTTATTAATACACTTAATGAATTAACGCAATTTTTAAAACTGAATGTTTTCAATTACCAAACAGTGAGTTAATTGACATAATACTTGGCCTATGTGAACATTTACAAAGATAACTTACGTTCGTTTTTCAACAGAGAACAACAAAACAAATAATTATAAATCCATCGCCTATATCGCCGTAGTTACATAAAGTATATTTCTTTTCACTGCGGTCAATGTTTTGCCATCTCCATTTTTCTATATTATAATAAACAAATCATGGTAACCTGCTCTGAAGTTATATAAAATTTAAAAAAAATGTGTGTAGTACCCATCTTTCTCGGGATTTATTTTTTCAAAGTCAAGTAAACTGAATCAGAAAAAAATCACACTATCCAAAGTCGAATCCATAAAATCCCAAACTTCCCTGCTTTTAAAAATAACTGGATTATGCCATGATGTAAATTTGAGTTGTCTTTATAATTTGTCATGGGGATTCCCCTTTTCTTAATAATTTGTATATGTAGTTTCATATTTAAAAAAGGTTTAGTATAATTGAGCCTACTTTAGAGCAAACTTACAAAATAATGTTTATTCATATGCAAAAATTTATATAGACGAACAAATTCAATTCGTCATGTTAAATACAAAACTGCTTCTAATTGTCAAAAATAAAAAAATACGATGTTTTTATATTTCTCTGGTCAAACGATGTGACATGTATTTATTACTGTCTTATTAAAATTATCTGCCATTTAAGACATTAGATTAGTTTCACATTCAATAAGAGATCGAAGCCATCAATTTCGATACATACACTCTATATTTCAATAATATTGGGTTGATGCCATATTGAATTACATATCATTGTTAATCGTCCATATCTACCTCATGAAAATTGGAAAAATGCCCTAGGAGTTTGAAGCTATAAGGTCACTAAAGCCTCACTATAACTAAATTGTAGGATTTTTGTCAGGTTCAAGAAAGAAATGAAAACTTGTCAACTCATCAGTAAATAAAATGTATCATTTTCAGTACTAGATGAGGTTAAAACGAGCGGTATCAAGAGTTAGTTGCCGTTACTGAATATTTGCCACAGATGACCACAGATATGTTTCAATTAATGTAGCTGTTCTCGAGTGCTTTTTTCCTATATAATGACACCACCAAATGAGACTTAACATTTATCTGATTTTCATTTGTTTAGTTTTGAGCGTTCCGGGTGATGGTAAATCCATAAAAAGCATCGAACGCAAGAAAAGAATATTCATAAAGGTTCATTTAACCAAGAAATTGTACTTACCATGAGCAACACGACGGTTGCCACATGTTGAGCAGGATCTACTTACCATGAGTATCACGACGGTTACCACATGTGGAGCACGATCTGCTTACACATCCGGATCACCTGAGGGATCACGTACGGATTTTGGTGGGGTTCGTGTTCCCCATTCTTCAGTATTTTATGACACGTATACTATAGTAGATTGATGTTTGTCTCTGTATGACTTCTGTTTCAATTCTCCCTTTGGTATCATTTTTATACCTGTTAATCCTGTTCCCCTTTTTAATTCGAGCATCTCTGATGAGCCTTTTGAAGACAAAACGGGCGTCTGGCGTACTCAATTATAAGCCTGGTACCTTAAATGAGTATTTTTTCCTATATAATACATGGAAATAAGTATCAAACGAAAAATAAATAATTCTCCGTAATAAAGACTTCCAGAAAGTAGATAGGTAACCGTAGATTAAAGTCACGTGATTAAAGTTGAATCAATTTCTAAAATCATACAAGTATATAAATATTTGAATTTTAGAATGTGCCAAACATTGCGACATCAGCTTCAGGGTTTTTAGAATTTTTCTAACATTTTAACATTTAGTCCGTTTGAAAACATTGGAACCGTGAAGGTCTATCAAAAGACAGAATCAGTCTTACGAATATGTAACGGATTTCATCATCAAAGAGAGCATCTGTGGCCGAGTGGTCTAAGAAGTCGAACTACTGTATCACTAGCCTGTCAACACTGAAGGTTTGAGTTCGAAACCGGCACGTGACAGGTGCGTTCGACTCCAATCTTAATTGACAAGGATTGTCAGTTTTCCAACAGATGAAACATATTAAACAAATGGAGTAATCGGAGTGTAAGAAAACTTATTATTTTGGAAGACAAACCTAAATTTTAAAGGAAAATTTATAGACACAAATATGTCTTTGTTTATCAGATAAAAGGTTCAGAAAAGTAACTTGGGTGTAAATATTTGTAAAAATAAAGGGAGCCTATGATATATATTGTTGTGGCCATCCTTTGGCGCGGTCAGGTCACCCAATTGGCTGGGTCAGATCAGGTAAACCTGTGTCTGTTACACCCACTTAAGGACTTTATTTACAATAGACTTTTAAACTTGCGGGAGCGTCAAATATCTCTCAATGCCTCAAAAAATAAACTACAGAAGTAAACCTAGTGTTTTGATTAACATTATTCTTTACTGGCGTCATTGTTAAGTTTCGATAAACAAATCATTATGGTATCGCACGTATTTTGAGCATAACAATAATTTTTTTCTAGCTTTACAATAGTAGTAAATTTGCTAGCAATTACCTTTTTGGTTTCTTTCAACTTATTTCTTCTAAACATTTTTTTTTTAGAACGAATGCATGATGAACTTTAAATCGTGGAGAAATTATGAATATATAAAAGTGTCCTTTCGAACATCTTTTACGTACATGCAAGATATTTGAGCTGTTTGGACCTACATGTAGCTTTATACAATTTGCATTTACTTAATGAAATAGATAACATTCAATTCAATATCTAAATATAAGCATTTATTGCAGTAATTTATTTACATTAGAAGAGGTCTTTACTGAAACGCTAGAATTTTATAAGAT